TATATTATAGGATATATTTTTCATGTGGATTCGACTATGTTTCACGCTGGCTGTCGACTACCTACCACAACCCTCCTCATTTGTTCTGGCTTGGGACAGATAGCGTTGGCAATAAACACAGCACTGACGGAGTTATATATTTTTAAAGTCCAATAGAAAATTTAACATATGAAGTGTAGCAAATAATTTGCATATGATGGAATGTTAACGTTTTAGTTTCGATGGCAAATAGGATACCCGTTATTTGCTTTTTCAATGGAAGACTAAGTTTTAGATTTCATAGTATGTACATATACGATGGAGGATCTAGAAAAATGTTCATGTTATCTAAATCATGCAATTTCCGATGGAATGATAAAGGAAATACATAGAGTTACTGGAGTTTGTCATGAAAAGTATGCAACTAAGGTGTTTTGCAATTGTACGATAAATGAGAATAGAACAATTGCTATAGAGAGCACCAATGATCAAGAATTGATTGATATAAAACAACTCTCTGAAAAGCAGATCTCCAATGTTGCCCAAGTTTCAAAAGCTTCGTGAGAGCTTTCCTACATACTTGACTTAGAAAATAACTTGAGTGAATTTATGTCATCTCCAAGTGTTGTGTGCTATTGGATGCTTTGATGAGGACACCCATTGGATGGATAAATTTTGTGTAACTAACAACTATGTGGAGTCTAAAGAACCATTGCCCGTGGAGTTTCAAAATGAGGATAGGATAAACCAATCGCAAGCTGAATTTGTTGATCTTGATTCAAAATTTAATGACCTAAGGACTGTAATTTCAAAAAGGAGATCTATTTGAGAACAAAGATGTATGGGTTTTTGCTATACCTGAATAGTCCATCAAGAATGAGGTTAAATTCAAGACAGTAAAAACTAATACCACAAACTACCATGTAAAATGCTACTTCAACAATGAGAATGGTCAAGAAGAGTATGCAAGTGCTCAAGATGAACGAAATATGAAGTGTCCTTGAAAGTCAAATGCAAGTGTTATGGAAAAAAAATCAAATGGGCAATTTATGAATTCTAGTTATTGTGGTCTTCAAATGGGCAATTCATGTTGCAATTTGACTATCAATGTCGGTCATAAGACAACAATTTCCTCTTATATCTTAAATCTAAATATGCCCGAAGAAAGTAGAGAACTTGATATAACTCCAAGTCAAATAATTATAAGGGTATATGATATGAGGAAAATAACCATATCCAAGTATAATACATATGATGCATGGAGAAAAGTGTCTATTAAAATCTTTAGAGATTAGGAGAAATCTTTTGAGTTACTTCTGTAATATCTTGAAGCAATTAAGAGGAAAAACTGGGTACCAAATACAAAATATTGTCTAAAGAGATTGCAGCGATAGTGGAGAGGATGACGTGAGTATTTTAGGCATTTGGTCCCACTATCAAGGGGTTCAGATTTTGTCATTTGCTTTTGAACATTGATGGTGCACATTTATATGGCAAGTACAAAGGAGTGCTTCTGGTTGTAACGGGTGTAGATGCAAATGGTGGGTTATTTCCTTTGGTCTTTGTAGTTGTTGAGGTAGAGGACACATCGAGTTGGAAATGGTTTTTTCAATGTATTTACAGATTCATTCCTACTGTCCAAAGTCCTAGAATGATTACTTTTATTTCCGGTCGAGGGTTTCGGAGAATCACATCATCACTGGTATTGCTTGAGGTGTATAAAAGATAAGTTTAAGAAAAAACACGGAGAGGTTAATTTAAAAAATCTATTGTAGCAAGACACGTATGTAGCAGACACACTGGTGTTTGAGCAATGTAGGAGAAAAAATTACGTCACTATCAGTAAAGACACGCGATTGGATTGAACAAAACTTAAAACTGCAATACATAGATCGATGGACGTTAAGTAAAGATGGTGGGGTGCGATATTGTATGATGACAAATAATTGCTTCGAGAGTTTTAATGGCATACTTAAAGGTGCCTGGGCTATGCCAATTCAAGCCTTAGTTGCAAAGTTATTTCACCAATTGAATGCATACTTTAACAAAGAACATGGTGATGATGCAAAGTGGATGGCGAATTACACTCCAAAAGATGAGAGCATTTTGTAGAAAAGGATTGTGGTTATAAGATCATGTAGAATTACTCCGTTTAATGATAATGAGTGCGGATTAAAAATTGCGAAGGTACTTACACCGTTCAGCTCTTTGACGAGGAGTGCAGTTGCACTTGCAACATACCACATTAAAAAATTGCCATATAAACGTGTTCAAGTGGTTAATTCCAATCAAGATGATGGTGCTAGAATGCCCTATGGTTGTATTGCTCTGCTTGGTGTTCAACGAGCCATTACTAAAAGGCATATAAGGAGAGTTTTCATCCTCCCGATAATAGTCACTATTGGCCAACTTATGATGGACTACGTTTATTATCACCTCAATACAAAAGATATGCGGGGAGACTCTGATCTGTGTGCATTAGAGGTACCATGGATCAAGGGCAAGAAGGAGTGGCATCGCAGATTAAGTGTAGTAAATGTAATCAACTAGGTCATAATAGGTCTCGTTGTCCATCAAGAACAAGTAGATAGCAATTAATTGATAATAAGTTTTGTATGTTTAGTTCATGCTTTTTAGTACAATCTTATTACTTCAACACGTACTAATATGTGATTAATTGTATGTGTAGTTATACACATTATGTTTCCCGGGCTGGATAGTGATGAGGTCCTCTATGATTAGTCATGCCGCCGTTATGAGACTGAATCATTTTCAGAGGTAACCAATTTGTTGAATATGTGAAAGTTAATTTCTTCATTATTATTTATTTTATACTCTAATGTGAAGAGAGGATCGGAGCTAGCCATAGTTTATCATGGCCTTGAGCATACTGTTGGTCACTTGAGAATGAGCGTATGATTAACATGGTAGCACAATCTAGTTTTCTCACATGCTCGAGGCTCCAATGGATGAAATTAGATTGAGCATTACTTAGCACTTTCATGGGTAGATAGAGGTCGAAGATTAACACTTCCATCTGCATCTCAGAGAGTCGAGCATTACCTTCCAAGACGTACCAATAATCCTTGGTCTCCAAGACGAGATACTAATATGTGTAATATTTTCTAGTTTGAGTGGGAGACATATAGTGATCTCCCTACTTATCTACCACCAGTTTGCATGGAGGAACAAGTTATATGGAGAGCAAGAGTTCCTCTCATATGCTTTGAGATTGTGGAGATAGATGTGTCGGATCCAATGCTTAGATAGTTTGGTTTGACACAACATTTTCTAGAAGAAGTTAAAAGACTAAAGAGAAAGGTCCAAAAAGGAGGGCATCAAATAGATTGGGCAAAACACATCATTTGTACATATACTCATTAGCACATATACTAATGTGTTGATTGACATTTAAGTATCGTGGAACATATTGATCCTTCTATCCAGGAATTAGATTACGTCAAGTGGTATTGGAGGATTAATAAAAGAGGGATAATAAATCAGACCACAGCTCCACTCCATGAACACTAACAGCGTGCCCTACAACAGAGATATGTGCCTAGGGGTCTAGATGAGAAAGAACTTGTAAGTCATAAGAACTTTTAAGTCATTTATTATCAAGTCAACTTATTTCGTATTACTATAAATTGCTTATATATGTATCTTCTTAACTTAATTGCAGATAGATGTTGTTGATGATATTGAGGCCATTGCAAATCAGGGTCTAGCATTTTCTGTCGCATGAACAGATCTAGAAGTACATGCATCTCTATATCAGCGAATAGTGCGAAGGGTTCGTACGAACTCTGAATTGAACTCATTAGGGAGTCATGATGGTCGAGAGGTGATGGTGGAGGAGATCTCTTATACACACGCCGACCAAATCGATGAAGACGAGAAGGATCTTGTAAGAACGACAATGAAACTGGACTGTCACATCCACACACCTAGCCGGACAGAGAGCTCATGCAAGTCAAGTCCATGGAGGAAGACGATGATCTGAGGGGGTAAGAAGAGGGAGACAAAGGGGCAGGGGTGGACTTCTAGATTGTATGTATTCGATTTATGGATTTTGCTATATTGTCTCTATTTAAGTATCAATATGGCTTACTTGTAAACCAATACACTTGATATACTTGGTTTTGTTGCGATGTTTTGGTGTATGGAGATAATACGCATTGTCGCGATATGTTTATCTATTGCATTTTGTTGCGATGTTTTGGATTGTTTAGATATGTATTAAGTTATGTACATGATTTTATAGAAATTATATGTTTATGGATATTATAACGTCTGGATATGTACATGAGGTTTATTTAAAATTTTTACACACGGGAGATATTGTATATGTACAAGAAGAGCGTAAGTCTTGATGACGTGGCTAAAAAGAGAAATTTTTTATGCACAGTAGATAATTATAATGTATACAGGAAGAGCGTAAGTCTCGATGACGCGGGCTAGAAAAGAGAATTTTTTGTGCAAAATCCGACCTCTTTTTCAACAGCGACTTGTGACGCTGACTAAAAAGAGGTTGATTTTGTCATTATTTAGCAAAAGGGGTAGATTTTGCTAATTATTTGTCAAAAATGGTCTTCTTCTTAAAAAAAAATCTCTTTTCCCCTTCTCTTAATAGAGGAAGAGCGTAAGTCGTTACTGAAGCAAGTACTAAGGAAAATAGTTCGGCTAGTTCTTTAAAATGGTTGCCATGCTCGATACTAGTCTCATTTTGAGAAGAATTGTTTTGAGTAAAACATGGCTAGCATCGGCTGCTAAAACTGTCTCTGTCTTGGCCCGGCTGCTTGAGGACCAGAAGGAAACTAGTTTAATTTAGAACCGGATCAGGATGCCCCGGGTCTGACAAACACACCAATTGAGCTCACATCCGAACTGCCGGTGCTCTCAAGAAGCTGAAGCTGTGCTCCCACCGACATCCCCAAGCGCGCGCCAGTACCTCTTCCTCCCCCTGCTCTAATGCAGCAAGCGGCGGCAGCCCAAGACCCAACCCCAGCCTTCTTAGAAGAATGGCTGCGTCAAAGCCGCCGCCGCCGCCGCCGCCGCCTCCTCGCACCCCCCTCCAAAACCATCCATCAGCGCCAGCTCCATCCTCGAAAGCCTGGTCCACCCTCCGCTCCCGCCATCCTCTCCTCCCCCTCCTCCTCCTCTCCTCCCTCCTCACCCTCTCCTCCCTCCCCTCCGCTCGCCCTCCACCTCTCCCACCCCCACTGCCAGCTCCTCCTCTCGCTCCTCCACTCCTCTCCCCTCCCTCCCCCCGCAGTCCCTCCCCTCGTCTCCCCGTGCTCCTGTATGCTACCTGCGCAAAAACCCTAGCCCTCCCCTCCGCTCCTCCGCCTCCCCTTCCCCGCCTCCTCCCCTACTCGCCCCCTCTGCTCCCCTTCCTCGCTCCTCCTCTCCTCCGCCCTCTCCCTCCCTCCACCCCGTCCGCCCTCGACCGACTTCTCTCCCTCCTCGCCGGGCCGCCCCCAGCCCCCGACCCCGAACCCTCAGCCTCCATCGCTTGACGCCTCTCTCCTCCCCCACTCCGCGACGCGCCGTTCTTCCGCCGAGTCCTGATCGTCCTTTGTTCGATCCGCGAGCGGGCCACCCTCACCGCCCCCACGGCTCAATGGTTCTCCATCTCCTCGAGTGGGTTGTATCGAAGGGTCCTTCGACAGGGTCGAGGATCGTTTGTAGGGAGGTTGAGTAGGGAGTGCGTCCCGAGGGTTGTGTGTTTGATGGCTCTGCTGGTGTGATCAGGGGTTTGGAGATTGAGTGGGGTGGGATTAGGGTTGGCGGGGAATTGAGGAGGAAAGTTGAAGGGAGGATTGTCTCGGTTGCGAATTCTGTGGTTTCTGGTGGCCGCGGAGAGGGCGACGGGATGGAGAAGAGGGTTTTGCTTCGTTGTATTTCGCTGGGTCTGGTTCGTTGTGGGTCGATTGGGTTCGATTGTTCTTTGCTTTTGTGCCTTTGCTCGGCATTGGTGGACGAAGTGTTTCCGTTGAGGGCTTTGATTCCGATGGCTCTTGAGACCCCGAATGGGGATTTTGAGGCGGCAAAAGAGCATTTGGAAAGTGTTCTCTTTAACGAAGCGGGTGCGGTCACTGGTGCTTTCTGCAATCAGTATGCGATGGCTGATGACGAGCACAAGTTGATAGCGGAGAATTGTATTTGGGATTACTCAAAGGGGATCTACTTAGATCTTCGTAAAGCAGTGATCTTACTAAGGGGGAAAGGTGACGAACTTATTGGAAATCTTGATAAGATCGCAGAAGCTGCGTTTCTTATGGTTGTCGTCTTTGCTGCTGAGGTCTCCAAGCAAAAGTTGAATTCAAAGTTGTCGGAACAGTTTAGGCCTGAGGTTGCTGTCAAGATTTTAGTTGCATTTTCATGCATAGAGTATCTGAGGCGTGTTAGGTTGCCAGAGTATACTGAGGCCGTTCGACGTGCTGTTTTGACTATTCAGGAAAATGCAGCTTTTTGTAGTTTATTTGTGGAATCGTTGCCTCCTTATGCTGAGCTGACTAATCAGAGAGGTATCTTTTATAACATGTTTGATAATATTTGAGTTTGTATTGTTCTATGTTAATGCACATTCACTTGCTGCTTGTTCTGCTAATAACTGCAAAGGTTCGCTTGCTTTGGAGGGAATGAGATATGTATGGTGGGAAGATGAGGTGCAAACTGCTCGAGTTTTATTCTGGATGCGGGTTATACCAACTTGCATTAGCTTAGTTCCTGCTTCTGTGTTTGGAAAGCTAGTTGCACCAACCATGTTCCTGTATCCTTAATTATTGATCATCTATTTTTATCGTGTGTTCTTTTATTTATCATTTAATCCTCCTAAAGCGGCGTAAGAGCTCGTTATGCTTTCATATTTTCTTTGTACAAACATGACAAAAGGGACTGTCATCGTCGTCATTCAATTCTTGTCTCCTCACTTAAATGGGGATGTCAGTAAAGTTGTGTAAGCAGCACAACTACGAGAAAGAGAGGGCCTTGCCTATGAAATTTGGTCCTTTAGTTTCTCATGAAGGCTAGAATGAGAAGTTGCTTGGCAATTTTCTAGCCTACTTCTTCTGGTCATGTGGTTTAAGATCATGCAACCAAGGAGTCATCATACAAGAATTATTTTAACAGAGAGTTACCTTTATAGTATGACAGTTCTATCATGACGCCGTGTCATGTTGGATAGGTGTTGGACAGAAATGTCATGTAGAATTTCGTTGTGTGTAGGTCTGTTGTGTGCACATCATTGTGTCTTATGTTTGTAAACATAGGTCAGTCACTGCACAAGTTACAAGCCAACCAAATGGAGTTGTGAAATATACTTTTGGTATCAAATTCATTCCTTAAGTATAATTTGTAAAGATACATGCATCATCCAAATGAGAAAGTTGCTCGGTCATCACATTCTGTATTTGTAGCCTTTGTGTCCTCTGGGAAGGATTGTGAACAGGATGATAGATTGGCTCTGAAGGAGAAGCTTGTTTTCTATTATGTACAAAGATCTTTAGAGGTATCTTAAGGAAGAAACCCTTCCTGATTTAATTTAGCATCTGAATCTGACTACTGAGGAAGTTCACATTTGTTTGCTTCATAATGTAGGCATATCCTGGGATTACCCCTTTTGAAGGTCTTGCTTCTGGAGTTGCAGCTTTAGTTCGACATCTTCCTGCTGGAAGTCCAGCCATATTTTTCTGTATTCATAGCCTTGTTGAGAAAGCAACTGATCTTTGTTCGAAAGCATTGAATCAAGATTCAAACCTGTGGAAGAGATGGGAAGGGAATACAGAGCCTTGTAAGAAAGTTTTGGATTTGCTTCTGCGACTCATCGCTCTTGTGGATATACAGGTAAGTTTGATTATACGTGCCTGTTAGCTATTTGTTTCTTTCTATATACAGTTCTGACCTTTTTGTCAGTTCTCATGCAAAGTATTAATTGAATCGAAGGTTTATTCAGTTAAACAGAAAATATTTTTTCCCTTTTCCTGGCAGGCTCATGTCACTTGATATGATTGAGTTTTTAGGAGAAAACTATACAACGGCTTTTGAAGTTTGGTGGTCTTGTCCAAAATTCACCCCTCACAGGAAGAAATTTGAATAAAAACTTTTAACCCAACACTTAAACCACATGGGACATTTCCATGATAGACTGTCCTGCTACATACATACCCTAAAGAGCGTTGATGAGAAAAAAGTTGTGATTACTTTCCTCAAGATAATTATAGTCCTTGGCCAGAATTTGGTACCGAGCAAAGTTGATTTGTCAAGGTGACAATTTATAATTGGTTATGCTACCTAATTAGCTTCAGGCTTGATAATGATGGACCTTTTTCTGTCAAGAAATGAAATTGGTTTTTGGATTAGTGGCTCAAAATTTAGTGCTTGGAAAACAGAACAGCCCTGAAGGAATGACCGAAAATCTATCTAACATGCTGGAGATGAATTCATTCTTTATTCGTTCTTTTACAGTGTGAACTTCTTTCATGTAGGCAAGCGTAAATAACCTATATGTCTAAATTATTTATCTTGAGAAAAAGCAAGTTATTTATTTCTCCTGACTCGAGATTTTGGTAAAACATCTTATTCCATTCCTTATATCCTTGTTGGATGTGACCAGGGTTTTAAAAAAGGGGGTTTTAGATATTAGTCCCTTAAATCATAGCTATTTTGATACTGGTCCCTCAAATCGTCATATTTTTTTTAAGTCCCTCAAATACCATTAATATGTTGATATTTGTTCCTATGGTTAGTTGAAGTTATTAATGCAAGTGAATATTCTGTTTTCTTTAACATGGGCCATTAATGAAGAGTTATGCTCACTTCCTCTTTATATACTTTCTTTTCTTCTCGAATTTCATTTATGCTCCCTTATTACCCCAACCCATTTTATAAATTTCCTGTTCCGGAGCTCATAATCACTTATTCCTTCTCAAAATTCCAGAATAAAGTTACAATTCTGAACTTAATATAGCAACAGGAGCACAACCAGTATATACCCACATGTCCAAACTAAAATTAAGCATTGTTCAAAGTATTTTAAAAGAAAGTAGCAGATTACTTGATCTCAAATTCGTTCTAAACTTCTAATGATAGCAATAAAAGAAAAATCTTCGTAGTGGAACCAAATTCAATCGCAAAATTTAAGAAAACCCATTATTCTTTAATTGGATGGTCTAATTAAATGATGGTTAAGTGACCTAATTAAATTGGTGGGGGATATTTGGGTAATTACTAATTAGCGACATAAGGTTAGTCTGAACCTAATCAGAGTTCACATATTTTTAACGGCGATATGACAACATATTCAGGATATGAGGAACTAATATCAAAATATGAAGATTTGAGGAATTAATATAAAAATAGCTATGATCTAAGGGATTAGTATCTAGAAACCCCTTTATTATTTATTAAATATGAAGTTTGTATTGGATGAGTTTCCTCAACCTAACCAGAGTTCACATTTTTTAACGGTGATATTAACAAAGGACAACATATTCAGGATATATGAGGAGCTAATATCAAAATATGAAGATTTGAGGGACTAATATAAAAATAGCTATGATCTAAGGGATTAGTATCTAGAAACGCCTTTATTAAATATGAAGTTTGTATTGGATGAGTTTTCTCATATCAAATAGCAGATATTGGACAGGATATCAACTTAACGAGACATTCATATCACATTCTAGATCAACTATTAACCTTGTGTTCCAGCAATTTGTTGAATTGGGACACTCCAATGCAAAACAAGAGACCTTCCTACGATTGAAACCGTGGTTGTGGATCCACCTCCAGTGCTCTAGCTGGCATTGCATTCTCCTTGATTGGCTATTGTAATAGTAGTCGTATTTTGGGTGCCTGAAACTGGGATCATGGATCAATGCTGATAACTTTCCTTTACGCATAAGATCCCCCTTAGACTATTTTTCTGCCAGTAGAGTGTGTTGGCATTCTGCGGATAGATTAAACAGCGGATGCAACAACTCATCTTGGATCGAGGCTAAATGCTACCTATGCACTTGGTCATCAATAGTTCTTTGGTCTCTGCTAGATCGTTCAACGCAGCTAGTAGATGAAATCCCTCTGATCTCGGTGTAGGCTTCGATAGAATGCTAGCTCTCTTATGATTGATGTGGCCATTGATATATGGTCGAGATATAATTGAAAAGAAGAAACACTATTTTTAGTTTCTCCTTCATCATCTCCTGGTCAGTGATAATTGGCTTGCCCCGTCTCTCCTGGACTCAGCACTACTAATCCCACTATGCCGATGCATGCCCCTTCAGTTTGATGATGACCCATGCAACATTCTTTTTGTCTTGCATGTTGTTGTAGTCAAAGATACACTCAATGGTGTGCAACCAATCCATGAACTTATTTAGCTAAGAAGCTACATGAAAATATGAAAATCCTACTTTGATATCATTCCTAACGCTGATCATGATTATGAGAATGGTGACCGAACAGGGTGTCTACCTCAGCCTCTGAATTATTACTTCGATCTAACTTGGTTACTTGTCACCCCAAAGACCAAGCCATTTCTTTTTTAGCTCCTCTATCTGTCTATGCAGATCAACCATCCCAGTCCCTAATAGATTTCACTCATAGAAGGAAGTGCTATCAACAGAGGCTCCCTATCCATCCATCCCTCCCATCATGACACTGCTCCTCTCATGAGGTGCTGCAAATTGGGATCTTAGGATCTTCACTTTGATACCACTTGATGCAGTCTTGATTAAGACTACCAAAATCTTGCTATTTGAGATGAATCTGGAAAAAGGACAGAATACGAGAGTTAGCTGAAACTATATTCAATGATTTAATTCTTAACTCTAATTTTTCTATTCATTGTTACAATGGTTGCATGACTCCTTTATTACAGATATGCTCTCTTAAAAGGAAAAGGAAAATTATGTAATTCCCTAAAGGAAACTAATGTAAAGGAAAATATTCTAATTAATTGATTGAATCACATCAATTTAAATCCTAATTAGTCTTTGATTAAGCCTTGGTCAAAACTTTATTCATTAGGAGTCGCAAACTTGAAATATTCAAAATAGGAAATCATTCTCTATGTTTGGATTTATCATGATCAAATTGCTTTACGTAGGCCAAGACCGCATCATGTTTCCATGCATATGTAAACATTTTCATGCACTCAAACACCCAACATTTTCTAATAATATAATATGTAATAACTATGCATATATTAAAATGTTAACCTATCATAATATTTTTTTTATAACTATGTAGAAGGATATGTCTCATAAATTAAAACATCTACTGTATAATCTACAACATGTTTATCAACTGCCTTACACATACCTGAGAAGTATTGGAAGAAATGTCGTCTGATTTTCAAAATGAGTATGGCTTCATAATAGAAGTGCTTTTGCTAACACAGCTCGAATACCTTGCTAAGCTATGAAATCGGTAAAGAAGCTACAAGTTTCATGACCAACAATTGCCCTACATTAGATATTTTGATGCCTCCAACTTTAGCAGTTATCAGCAATGTGGATGGGGATTTTAAAATCCTTGGTATTTCTGGTACATGTATTCTTTTGGCAAATCTAAGCATATGCAAACACTTGTTTCATTTATTGTTTTTGCCTCAACATAGAAGACTTTGGCCCTTTAGGAGACCTAAATAATTAATTAAGTTGCTTTGGGATCTACTGGTAAAATGAATGTATCGTGCACGCAGAAAAGCTGTAACCTTTTTGACATTATTGTATAATAAATAGTAATAAATACATAGAGGAACTTCAATTTTCAATAATAATCTTCAACTACCATATAGAATTGTGTGTTTAACTTCCTAATTACGCTAACTGCAATATAAGTTCAGACAAAGTGCTATTGTGGTAAACTAAAAATGAAGAATAATACACACAAATAATTATTGTTTGGTTTTTCCTATTCTACTGAACTAAGTTCTTGTCAAAGTTTGTAAAAAGTACAAATATTTTTTAAATTTATATTGTATAATAATGCTCTTTCTTCAATATTATGTTGTAGGTTTGATAAATTCTCACATCAAGAACTTCTATGGAGTTTTTAGTTCTTTTTTAAAAGTGTAGTTAACAGTTTCCAAATGTGTATATTCAACACTTTCAACCCCCACATCCCACCCTCAAAAACATCCGTCCTACATTTTGTACAACATGTGCCACTAGGTGTCACGTGTGTGTGTTTTGGGGTGGGGGGTGGGGCCCTTAGGTTTCTTTCTTCTTGTTTGGGAGTAGAGGTGTTGAGTTTATGTTGTAATTCAGCCTGGGGACTCTCTAAAAATGTTGGATACGGATCCTCTCCAATTAGGTGATAATTGGAGAGGGTCTAATTAGTCAAATCGTAGCCTTTTATTCCAATTTAAAGGTCTAGGATGTTGCCACATAGGATTTGATTATTATCTAGAAAACCATTGTTGTCTTGAAAACCACTAATATGAAAACCTCTTTTGTGAATAATGAAAATCCTACGCGGTCACATCCTATCCATTGAAATCGGAGTGAGTGGTTACAATTTGACTAGTTGTTGAAGCTGAATTACTCGAAACCTTCCAGACGGATTTCTCGCTGTATAACTTTCTTAAGTAAATAGACTTCTTAACTATAATGTAGGAGAAATATTAACTAGGATCATTTACAGAGGGAGGTGGTTTTTGATTTCAGTGACCATGCAGATGTAGTTCATATTTCTGTCTTCTCTCGTATTTCAATAATTGTTTCCTCTGCTTATATTATTTCCTCTCTAAGTTAGTTTATTATCCATATAGAAGAAGGTTCCTGTCTGATCTCACATTATTCTAGCCTCCCAATATGTGAAATTGATACCATCACTTAGTTTTCACAAGCTCGTCTTTGATATAGGTATTGCCATACTTGTTGAAGCAGTTGGCTGAGTTCGTAGTTCAACTGCCTAAAGAGGGGCAGAATGTTTTGCTAGACGAGATGCATGCTCAGGTTGCTGAATCTGATGATGTTACAAGGAAACCAGTTCTTGTTTCATGGCTGCAGTCACTTTCCTACTTGTGCTCTCAAAAGAAACCCACTTCACTCAGAAAAGGCGATGAAGCCAAATCGCATGATTTTGATGGAACTTTGCAATTGAACCAGACCAGTTCCCGCCTCTGAGAATGTGTTCTCATGCGTGAAAATAAGTTTGCATTTTTCTTGATTAATGTAACTTAGGCTCACAATAAATTTTTAAAAAATGGCATGGATGTGTATTGTATAGCGGAAATAATAATACTGTTTTCAGTCTTCTCTATTGATAACGGGAAGGCTGATTTTTTTTTTTATTTTTTACTTTTTATAACTTGTAATTATGACATTCTGTCAATTGTTTCTTGTTGACAGGAGTATAGCGGAGAATATTGCAATTTTACATTTTTGATGATAACGGGAAACTGGTATGTGTTATATGGAATATATTGATCGGTAGTTGCAGGTTAGGCAACGTCTGAGGCCATCCATGGAGGCTTTGTATTCATCAGAAGCACAGGAAAGCGTGGGAGGTGGAGAATATTGTCATGAGCGTGGGTACATGTCAACGTCTGAAGTTCCATATACCTGTTATTACAATCTCCACAACGGAGAAAGTATCTAATGAAGATGGTCAATTGCACCTGTTATTACAATCTCCACAACGGAGAAAGTATCTAATAAAGATGGTCAATTGCACTTAGGGCCTGTTTGTTTCGCTTAAAAAACAGGGAAAATGAAGGAAAGTAAAGAAAAGTAAACATATTTTTCATGATTTGATGTTTTCTTGTGTTTGGTTCACTTCTTAGAAGTAAAAAGGAGATGAGTTGTCACCATATTATTGGATGATGTGAGTGATTTTTAAAGATATTTTATTTGGAGGTTCTTTTCTTGTGTTTGGTTGGCTAAAAAAATAAGGGAAAGTGTTTTCTTGTGTTTGGTTCATTCTTAAAACTAAGAAAATAAATGAGATGAGATGAGTTGTCATTATATTATTGGATGATGTGACGCATACTATTTTCCATCAAATTCATTGTTTTTTTGGAGTAAAGCGAAGGAAAGAAGATTTAGAGGAGATGTGATGAGTTGTCACCATATTATTGGATGATATGAGTAATTTTTAAAGATGATAGAAAATGAAGGAAAATGGGGTGAGTTGAGTTGGATGAGTTGATTGATGTGACTCATTTCTTGTGTTTAGTTTATTTTTAAAAATAAAAAATGAGATGAGATGAGATGAGTTGTCACAATATTATTGGTTGATGTGGGAAATTTGTAAGGGTGAAAAGTGGGGAAAGTGAAGAAAACACAAAAAAATGGGGGAAAGTGGGGGATGGAAAGTGGGGGAAACGAAACAAACAGCCCCTTAGTGTGCAGCAAATGTATGTTAAATAATCCAATATTTGAAGAAGTGCACATTTAATATCATGGACTAAGAGCCATTTAATATATTCTCATCAACAGCATCCAACTATGATTACAAACAAGTGCTACTTGTATATAACTATAATTACTGTATAAGATTATTAAGTTTCATATTAGGATGTTAACTTGTTACATTTAAGATAACCACTAATTGCATTTGAAGTTATAAATTAACTTAATAACAGCTAAAAAAGATTGTAAACATCATGTCATGTAAAACCTCTATAAATGGCTGACGGTAACTATAATTTATTATTAGGCAAAATGCCTCTAGCCCCCAAAAGTATACAGAACGTGCCCACCCCCTAAAACTTTTTCAACAGGCGCTTTGCCCCCAAAAAGCAACGTGATTTTCTCCTAGCCCCCAAAACATGCCCCCACGTGAAACGCCAGTTAAAACTCACACGAACTGCCCAAAATACCCTTCAATTTGGCCGCCTCTCGTTAACCTATAATGACCTCCTTGTTCGTACCATTTCATCTCTCTTCTGTCCAAGCGAACCGTCTCCATCAACCCATTTCAAAACCCTAGCCCTAAATCAATCGACTCCCAAGCGCACCGACTCCAAACCACAGAGATAAAAAATGACCGGCGATTCAACCTCCAAAGTTTGCCTCCATACCGACCACAGCGAAGACGAAGACGCATCGCAGTTCGTCGTCTCAAAAAGAGCCCAAACAACAGCAGAGTGGACTAATGCTGGAGCTACGATTGATAATGTTCTAGAGGACATCGTAGCCAGCCATGTTTGGGTCAAAAGTTAATGTTTTCATTGCTTTGAATCTATTACAACTTTAGTCGTTACAATAAACTCAAATAAAAAGTTGAACTTTTTATAAGATCTCCTTACACAATGAAAATAAAATTACAACTTTCTCAAACAACACACAACAGATGTTTATCGCTTGTTGTTTGCGTGAGATCTTTGCCTGTGCCGAGGTTTATCCGTGGACCATCTACTGATCGGATCCGGTTGACAGATAATTGACAGAGCTCCTACTTCACCAAGAAAGTATTCGTTTGAAGCACTGAAATCGACCAAGCGAAATCAATAGCTCTTCTCGAGATTAAGACCAAGCCTAATCTCAAGGAACAGACAGGGGGAAATACGGGTTCAGATCCTTCGAAAGCCTTCCTCTTTATGCTGAAGTTCGTCGGGATCTGATTTGCCTTCGCTGTAAATTCGTGCTCCTTCAACTCCTCAATCCAGCAGCACCTTGTCCTCTTGATCCATTCGCCCCCTATGAAATGAGCCCCTAGGCCTGTATTTATAGGCTTCGGTTGGGGGTGTTTGGATAAGAATGAGTGATTTGATCTTATCTTCAGTTAATAACGACCTAACAATGTTTGTGGATGATATCCAATCAGTTGGGAAGCTCTGGAACGAACAAATCCCCAAAAAACAGCAACAGAACCGTTAAAAACTCGTTTGTGGCTTGAGATAGCACAACACGCTCTCGAGCACTGCTGACCCGCGGGGGGTGCGGGTCGGCGCGGGCTGACACGTGCTGGCGTGGGTAAGCTGCCGCTGTCCTGCGTTAGCGCGGGAGTTTCGGCCTTTTGCCGAACTCTTTGGTGTTTTCTATTTTTTTGGGACTTGTATTTTATACTGTTTTGCGTATTTGATCGTCTTGTTGACTTGCACGCGTCGTTAACTTGCTTCATGCGTTCGTTAGCTTCTTTACGGCACTTGGAGTTGACCGACAAGTACGGCGGGTGCTTGTACGGTGGCCGATGAGTACGCGGGCCACTTGGAGGTGGTTGATGAGTGCGCGGGCCAATTGGAGGTGGCCGGTGAGTGCACGGGCCAGTCGTTTTGTCGATTTAGTGGCCAATGGCTATTCCGGTAGCTTATTGCTACGTCATCAACGGTTTGCCGATTTGCTTGATGCGCTTATCGGCGTCGGATAATCTTTCTTGATTCGGATAATGACGTTCATCGTCTTCTCTCTGTCTCGAGCTGCATGCAGGAACCTATAGGTGTTTTTAGATGCCTACAGATACCCCCTCCAAAGTATTTTAACCTCATTCCTTTATAGAGGAATCTGAAATACTTTGGATGTGATAGGCCTCACCTTCAGTCGGTGTCAAATAATCTGTAGCTGACTTCAATTCTTGACTTCTTCAGCCTTCAGCCTATTCATTGTTTTGTTGAATAGATGAAGTTCTTCTGGTGTTGCGTTATCGTCTGACCATTGTTGATGTCTTGAACTGAAGTTGATGCATAGGTTTCTGATCTTAGCTTGTGTCGTTGAGTTGACGTTGAACTGACCGTCTTCATCAGGAATTCATATCTGAATCACAATTGAACTCCTTGGAATCATCCCTTAATCCAGAATTTTTTCATAGCCTTATTTTGGCGAAATCATCGATGCGTTGACCGGCGTTAACCTATAAAACCCCAAAAATTTAAATATTTTGTAATAAATAATAAATATGTTATATTATGAAAAAAATAATATTTATTAACATTTGAGTATGCTAAGAATTGATTTGAGATCAATCCAATGTATATATGTGAATATAGAAGTGATATCATGTACACGTGCACGGGCTCGAATCTGGGAAAAACAACTAGTTAAACGTATATGCATTTTACATACTGAAGAATTTGAAATATGAAAAAACTTAAAAGATCAAAGTTGTAGGTCTCTTAAAGATCTTTCCAATAAATCTTATATCACCTAATTCCAAGGTTAGACATGAAAGTTATAGCCAAAATACCGATAGTTATTTTCTTAGTCACACTAGGTTTCCTAGTTCGGGTCAAACAGGTTTGTTTCGGGTTTGCCTCTATAAATACCTGTGTTTTTCAAAACAATTCCTCTCTTTTATCATATCTATAAATCATAGCATCCACCCTCTCCCCTTAAAAACCCTAGATATTTTTTTTATGAATTTTGAGAGCTTTGTGGAGCATAATACCGACACGAGGGTGAGATCTTCGACGTGTGACAAGAGAAAACGGGTTGTTGAAGCTCAAAATAACATTTGAGGCAAGATTATCTTCATCCAAATCTATCCCCGTAGTTAAATAACTAGTGTAGATGATTAATATGATGTCGAATATGTGTTTTCATGCTTTAATTTTAACCTGATTAATATGATGTCGAATATGTGTTTTCATGCTTTAATTTTAACCTGAGGTGTTAAAAGTCAGATTTTTGATAGTAAATCTTAACTTTAATTTTAACCTGAGGTGTTAAAAGTCAGATTTTTGATAGTAAATCTTAAATCAATGCTAGATTAGCAATATTTTCTTACTGTTTATGATAGTATCATGATCATGATCATTAAGATTATTCATAATTTCATTTATATATAAGAAATTTAAGTGATGTACTAAATATATATTTTTTGCAGAAAACTGTAGCACTTGTATAATCTTTAACTAATATTTTAAGATAGCAAACAAATTCCAAATTTAACCAAACTAGTTCCAAATGAAAGATATATATATCTAGTTTCTAAAACAGAAAACCATTCTTGAAAAGAGTTTTTATAGAGAAAGATATGTTATGTTTATTAACAATATATCCTGCAGAAAGCTGCTGCATATGTATAATGTTTAACTGGAGATTTAGGATAACAAATGAACTCCAAACTATACCAACCTTATGCCATTTGAAAGATGGGTAAATCCAGTTTTCAAACCATTTGTAAAAATAGTATTTCTAGAGAAAGATATGCTTATTTTACTAACAGAAGTCCCGTCTATTTTTCTACTCATTTTGTGGAGCTGTGTTGCGCCATTTTGAGATGCGTTCGTGGAGTTTTGAGCCGTTTGATGTTACACGTATAGTCATGAATATGTTTTGTTGTACATTTGAGAATCCTAAGGGGATTATGATAAATTTTGATTTGATCATATTTGAATTAGATATCGTTCATATACATGTTGGATGTCGTTGATGAGCACAGATCAGTACTATATGAGATAGTGCGTCGACATACCAGATATACTCGGTTTATACATGAGATAACTG